AGGGGGGGGCAGGCAAAAGATTATGTCAAACAAAATCTTTTCTTTTGTTAGGGAAACCCAACAAAGGGTAAAGGTCTCAAACTTATTCTGTCTAAATAATAATTAAAACTTTGACATTTATATAGGAAAACTATGAAAACTAAGGAATAAAAAATGTATACAAATACGGACATATTTCAAGAAACTTTCAAGGAAGTTGAAGTACTTTTAGCATTCATGCAACTTGCACCTAAATAATTTACACACAGAATTTTTCATATTCGAATATATTTGAATGCCTCAATTATTAATTCCTGCATCTACATATGTACATATGTATGTACATATGGTGCTTATTTCTTTCTCTTATGCCTGGCACGTGGAGTGCACTTAACACTCTGAAATCTATTTCCTTTATTCTCGTATTCGCCAACCAATTTCATTCAATAAATATCAAGACATACAGAAAAATGTGTGTGTGCTTACTTTTGCCATTAAAAGCAATTTCGAGAGAGAGAATTATTGCTTTTGCTGTTTGCGAAGCCTATTTCTGAACTGAATATTCTTGGGCCCACTTGCTGGCGACATTGCGAGGGAATGGAGGGGCCATTGTGCATATTAGAAAAATTTATGAAAAACAATTTTCCATTTTGCTGTGTATTAAAGACGGAAGGTGGAGCAGGAGAAGGGGAATAGCCTATTTGCATATTTGTTAAATTTATCTTTGGCTAAGCAAACACAGAGCAGACAAGAGCAGACAAGAGCAGGCAAGTACAGAGCAGGCAGGAGCAGGAGCAGGAGCAGAGTATCCTCGAGCATATTTTGTGACATAATCAAATATGCTTTAAGCAAAAGCCAACAACTCAACCCTTTTGAAGTCGCTGCCAACAAAAATGAATGAACTGCAGATAAAAGATGTTGGCCCCTGCCATGTCATGGTTGTTCAGTTATTTCCTACACATACATACATACAGTCTCTCTCTCTCTCTCTCTCTCTCTCTCTGTCTCCGTCCTCCTGCTTGCCAGAAGGACAATTTTCTTATTTCTTTCGTCTATTTTATGGGCAAGGAAATGCAAATGCTTACAAGACGTTTAACATGTCACCTGCGGGCAAAAGTTGCTCTCTGCAAAATGCTCTGCACACTTATCTGACAGTTGTGTGCATCTCTTCTGGCCCGGCGCTCCTTACCCGGGCATATGTATAAAATATACATTTGTTTGCCTTACCATGTTTGTCACTTATCGTTTGGTCCAATGTTTTGCAGCTGAGTGCCATTCCCACAGCGACTGCTCCAGCGCCTTCCTCCTTGAATCTGGGTAGCTGGCACTGAGGCGAAGGCTGGCTGCTGATGCTGATGCTGATGCTCAGGCTATGCGATGCTGTAGATAAATGTTTTTGTATGTCTGCTAGGATATATTATGATTTTATGCATGGTATGGCAAGAAATTACTGCTTGCCCGCCCGATGCTGCGAATATGAAAACTGTATAAACTATATACAGTAGTTGCCATATAATATTTTATGGCTGGACTGTTAGGTGTTCTTCTCTAACAATGCCTCGAGAAATATATATACACATATATGTTGCACATATGTATATAATGTACGTCAAAGGTTTTATACAAATTTTAATTATGCATATGAGAAAATGCGAAATTATGTGAAATATTTTTTCTCACTTGCTTCTTGTTACTCGATTTTATAAGAGAGATCTGTGGCACGTTGTTGTGTGTACAGTATGTACACAGTATTGATATTTAATCTCTACTTTTGTTTGCCATTTCCGAATAAACACAAATTTTGCATTACATACGCGTATCCTTTACAGTCCGTGCCGCTTGCATTTTCGCTCTCCTTTAGTAGTGGGTGCCACTGCCACAGCAGTAAAGCACATTTTATGGCATACTATTTTCCTCTTATTTCCGTTTGTCGCTTTCCACCATTTGCACCATTTTATGGCCATGCTTCCGTCAGAGATTTTTGTTGTGGAATTTTCTTGGTTTTCTGGCGGCTGCTTCGCATTTTAAAGTGTTATAATTTGTTTGAAAGTGTCCTTGAGCTGCTCCAGAGAAAGAGCCGCGCACACACGGGTCCGCTCGCCAGCCCGGAACTTCTTTGGCGGTGGAATTCCTATGAGTACGAGTTCTATGAGCTCGCGTGTGCGGCACATGCATTTTTCCATATTAGCTGCACAGTCTGCCGGCCGAAACTTATTAAAATTGTTCAACGTCGTTGCTGGTGCAACACTGGCATACCAAGCTCCTTCTCCTCCCCCTCTCCTTCTGCTCCCTGGTGGGGTCGGGCAATGCGATTTATGTTTCAAGTTTGAAATTCGCGAAATAGTTTCGCGTGCTGCAAATTTTTAACGAAACTAATCAGCATAAAAATGCAGTGCAAGTGTGCCGTCTGCCACAGTGTGTGTGTGGGGTGGGGGGGCAAAAGTGAAAGTGTTCTGCGTGGAACCCGTTTAATAGAATTATTTATGGCGGCAAAGGGGAAAGTGGGAAATTCCGCGCGTGACTCGATGAAAGTGCTTTTCAGCCAGCAGCCAAATGAAGTGCAAGGCTTCTTTCTGCCCCTCTGAATGAGCTTTGCCTCAGATGTCTTAATGAAAAATGAACACGTAATTATTGTATTTTTTGTATTTTTTTTATTGTTAGCTCAAAATTTTGTGTTGCAAAAGTATGTAAAAAAAAAACCAGCCAAATGTTGGTTAAATTGTATTGTGGTTTATCTCGTAGTGCCTTTGTGAGCGGCTCCTGCAGCCGTACCCCTGCCAAGGCCCATAGCCATAGCCATTGCCGTAGTCGGGCGGATCTGCGCCTGCCCTGCCGAACGAAGCAGCTGGAGGGACTCAGCGACAACATCTTCGATGTGCTGGTGATAGGCGGTGGGGCCACGGGTTGTGGCTGTGCCTTGGATGCGGCCTCGCGCGGTCTGAAGACCGCCCTGCTGGAGGTGTCCGACTTTGGCAGCGGCTCCAGCTCAAAGTCCAGTAAGCTGCTCCATGGCGGCCTCCGCATAATGCAGTCGGCGGTCAGAAACCGCGACACCAAGCAGCTGCTCGTCATGTACGACACCCTGCAGGAGAGGAGTCTCTTCCTGAGGACAGCTCCGCATCTGGTGAAGCCGGTGGCGATGGTAATGCCAGTTGAGGAATATGGGGACCTGCCCAGGCTGTGGCTCCTGCTGAAGCTGTACGATCTGCTGGCTGCTGGCTCAAAGCTGAAGGCCTCGCACTTTCTCAGCCGCAAGCAAACACATTTCGCCTGTCCCATGCTCAGGACGGACCGTCTGAAGGGCTCGCTGGTCAGCTACGAGCTGCAGATGGACGATGCCAGGCTCTGCCTCGCCCTGGCCCTGACGGCGGCTCGCCAGGGCGCCAATGTGGCCAACTATGTCCAGGTGCAGCAGCTGTCGCCGCCGGACCTGTCCGGCATACGGCTGGTCATCGCCAAGGACCTGCTCACCCAACGCCAGCTGGCCTTGAAGGCCGCCTGCGTGATCAATGCGACGGGGGCCTACGTGGACTATGTGCGGCTGATGGACTCGAGTCAGTCGGTGGCGATAGCTCGGCCCACAGCCGGAACTCACATAGTTCTGCCGGGCTACTTCGCCAGGAGCTGTGCTGTGCACGGACTGCGGCCGGGCGAGGTATTCGCCATGCCCTGGCAGGGCCACACGCTGGTGGGTTGCAGCGAGGGGGGCTCCTTGGGCCTGGAGCCCCTTGACACGGAGGTGGATGCGCTGCTGGACAAGTTCCGGCAGAAGATCAGGCCGGATGTGGTGCTGAGCAGGAAACACGTCCTCAGTGCCTGGAAGGGCCTGTGGACCAGTGTGGCCGGCCGTGGCGCCAGTAGTCGAGTGTCCGGGCGTCCGCTGCTGCTGGCCAGCGAGCGGCGATTGCTTACCATTGCCAGCGGGGACTGGACCAATTACCGCGCCATGGCCGAGGACACCATCGACGGGGCCATCAAGAGCCTGCGTCTCCAGCCGCAGTCCGAGTGCTGCACCTACAGGCTGCCACTGGAGGGGGCGCTCCACTGGACCAAGGAGCTGCCCGGCGAGCTCATGCGCAGCTTCGACCTGCCCGCCGATGTGGCCAACCATCTGTCCGAGTCCTACGGCTCGAATGCCTTCACCCTGCTCAGCGCCTTCGATGGCTGCCACGAGCGACTGCACCCACATCTGCCCCACATCGAGGCGGAGGTGCACTACGCGGTGCTGTTCGAGTACGCTCTGACCGCTGCCGATGTGCTGGCGCGCCGGACGCGCGTGGCCTGCGTGGATGTGGCCGCCGCCATGCAGATGCTACCGCGAGTGGTGGAGATCATGGGCAGTCGGCTGAACTGGAGCCCAGCGGTGCAGGAAGACCAGCTGGCTCGCACGGCCAGGTTCCTGCGGCAGGAGATGGGCATGGGTACAGTCACGCTCGCCGATTCCATGAGCATGGCGCAGGCGGAAATGGACAAAAGAATGGCCGCCAGGCAGGACTAAACGTTCAATCTACACACTCAGAAATGCATTGGAAACGTGTGAAATATATTCTGAAATCGTAGGCTGCTTTAATTTCAATGTAATTTAAACACACTTTGAATATGCGATGCCATAAAAAGCTCATTTGCGCAGCTAACGAGCGGCAGTTAGCAAAAATATTCCCCCACTCTTCGCTCCACCCACCTCTACACACGCCTCTCGAAGCCGCCCCCTCAATCAGCCAATAAATAAAGTAATGTATGAGAACGATAAGCATATTCAAAGCAGCGACACAGCAACAAGAAATGATTCCGCAGCAGCGCCCATAACAATAATTCAAAATAGGCCATCCCCCCTCCTGCAAAATATAGCTAATTTATTAAAAACAAACGACAGCAGCAACAGCAACTGAGGATGGGGGCAAATAAATTGCCAAAGTAACGCCAACCAAAAAGGAGGCAGAAAAATCGAACACCAAAAAATTTCCTAACGACTGCCAGGGAATCGAAGCCCAAAACGTTTTTCCTCTCATATTCCTGCAAGTAACCGAAACTCTTTTGCGCTGCAATTTCAGTCCCAATGTTTTTGTATTTTACAATTCGTTTGAGCAAGTTACATGGCTGGAGTTAATGGAATGGGCTGGCTTTTGGTTGCATGCAAGTGTAGCGAGGCTTACAGGTGATTGTGCTTTGTGGAGTGTGGAGTGTCCCTGGCCTTTGCTTAGTATTGATAGCCACGTGGCTGGGCACCACGATGCTGGCCGTGACTGTACTGATTGTAGCGAGACGGCGAGCGTGAGCGATTTCGGTAGCGAGAATCGAAATTGTTGCGGTTGTGCGAACGGGATGGCGAACGGGTGTGGGAGCGGCCACCGCCACCGCCACCGCGGACGGGCGAGTAGCGGCGGCGCCAGGTGGCACGGACCTTGTTCGGGCGAAAGGCCGACACCACGATCCTTCTGCTGTCGATCTGGCCCCCGTCCATGTTCTTGATGGCGCGTGCGCAGTCCTGTGCGTTGGCAAACTCCACGAAGGCGAATCCGCGCCCCGCACTATCCCCGTGCAGCTCAATCGGAAAGTCGACGGCTGTCAGCGGGCCAAAGTTGCCAAAGATCTCGGTCACATGCTCCTTGGTCACCTGGCGGCTCAGCCCCTTGATGTGCAGCCGCAGCTGCGAGATTGGCGGCGCCCCGGGCCTGAAGGTTCTCTCACGACTCATTTGGGAACTCGGCGATGCCACACGTCTGCGTTTGTTTCTTGGATTGGGGCTGCCCGACTTGGAGCGTGAGTGGGAGCGCGAATGGGAGCGCGAACGGGAGCGCGAACGGGAGCGAGAACGGGTGCGAGAACGGGTGCGAGAACGGGTGCGGATGCTGCGCTGCATCAGCTTGGCTGGCAGCTGATTGGTGCCAGTATTGGCAGTGGAATCAGCCACTGGATGCTTCGAAATGGCAGCAGCATCGGTGGCTGGCTTGGAGTTGGCAATTGACAGGATTGCTGCCATCACGTCAGCTTTGCAATTGGTCGTCTGACACTTTGTGCCGGAACCAGTGTCGATGGGCTTGGCTGCTGGGCTGGCTTCGGCAAGCGGTAGCTTCGCAAGGCAGCCAGAGTCGGTTGGCTTGACATCGGCACTGAAGCTGGCCACCGAGCGTTTCACTTCTCCCTCGACAGTCTTTGTGGAGTCCCTGGTGACCTTCACAGGATCTTTTGGCCTCGAGCCGAGGGCAAAACTGACTGGTTTCGGATTGGAACTGGAGCTCTTCGGCTTCGAGTTGGCACTGGAACCAGCAGAGTCTGGCTTGGCTTCCAGCTTGGAACTGGAACCAGCATTTTCTGTCTTGGCAGCATGACTTGCTGTCTTCTCAATGGCACCGGAACCGGAACCGGAACCGAAGCGGGAGCTGGAGCTGGTTCCTGCGGTGCTGGCTGGCTTCGATCTGTGGCTGGACTTCCTGGGCGGCGGACTCGTCTGGCAGGCAACATTCTTGAAGCGACTGTTGCGCTTCTTGCGGCGCGAATTGTCTTCCGGCTCAGAATTGGCCAGGGCGTCAACATCTTCGCCCGGAGCTGGAACTGGAACTGGGACTGGCACTGGCACTGGGTGACGGCGCATGCTGCTTTTGGCGGCCCTGGAACGCTCGGAGCAGCGTCGGTGATGGTTCGATGGCTTCTCGTAGCGCATACGCCGATGCAAACGGCGACGGCAGCAGCGATGGTCGAACGAGTCGTCGTTGCTGCTGGACGAGTCGTCGGAGCTGGAGGTGCTCGAGAGGTCCGACTCGTTGTAGCCCATGCTTATCGAGGACAGCGAGGACGCAGAAGGCGACCGCAGTGGCGACGACGTTTTGAATTTTTTTGGCTTGCCTTCTGACTTGTGCAACTTGCTCGGCTTGACCGGCTCCAATGACACGGCATTCGAATTATTTTCTGCGGCGTCACTGGGCGGCACGGTGACCTCCTGACCGGTGGTCTTGACATCAACTGGATCGAGCATATCGCTGTTTCAATTAATCACAAAATTTTGAATAGAGAAAATCTTTTTTTTTCGCTTTTGGAAATGAATTAATTTTTGATTGGAGCTCCGGACTTGTTCCTTACACTTCGACTTCTGCGACGGAATGAAAGGCAATTCGACTCGATGCTTGTCACAAAACGCAAAGGCAAGGGCTGCTGCGAGTGCAAGGAAGTGCTTGACATTGCCTCAAAAGAGTGTTGGATAACATTTTCTGTCAACACTTAAACTTGACTTGAAGAAAATTGATTCCCAGCGGAAGATAGTACATGGGAAATGCTATTTAATCTATTGAAATTAATCCAGATAATTTCGCCAGTCTCCTTGGGCAGCAATAGATCTCTGATCATTATTTTTACAGTCTTTTTTGAAGCTATTACGCCCAATGATGGCGATTCCACGCTGATTGTTACCGTCTTCTTTGGCCCTATATATTCCATTTAGAGAACTGAAAAAAATTCAAATGTAAAGTTGAGAGAGGTTGGAAATACTTAAAAAAAAATATAAATTATCTTTGGGCGCAGTCCTTGAACCACCAGGGGGGCACACCTGCCCTCATTTAGTCTGTGACTGATTTGCAGCAATATGGCACTCCAGTTCCACAGTTTCGATCTATATCACTTACTTCTCTCGCTTATTGAACAGTCCCTGGGTCTTCAATCGACCTCGCTTTGCTTTCATCAACCGACTCATCTTGCTATCGCTTTCGCTACCACATGCCACACCTACACCTACACCTACACCTACACACACCATAGTTCCGCCTACTTGTAGCAAATAAATTGTACACCCATTAACTTCTTATTTTACTTTAAAATTTAGAGTCTCAATCAGCTAGTGAAAGAACAGCAGTGATAAATAAATAAGGCATCTATGATTTATTGCGGCAGCGAAAAAATTCGAGGAAATTCAGAAATGGGAAACACTTTGTTCCTGGGGTGGTTCTAAAATCTGAAAAATTCTAAATTCTAATTATAATTCCTCCACAAATTATTATTATTATTATTATTTTTTTTTTCATTTATTTGTTATTTTTTATTTATTAGTTTTAGTTTATTAATTTTCACTCTGACCCTCAGTCATCAGCTAACACGGGGACTTTAACGATAAAGTGCGTCTAACGCAGACCCTTACAAATTTTGCTGCCTTTGATGAAGCCTTCAATTGTCCCACGGCACGATCCACAGAGAGATGCCAGCTCTGGTGATAGGGAAAATCCCACGACGATAAAAACCCCCCTTCTGAAGGGGTTTAAAATTACATAACTAAAGAGTGGCAAATTGTTTAGCTGCATTTAATTTATTCACGAATTCTGCATACTATTCCACACCATAGGCACGTATGCAATTACTCGAGGGCAATAGATCTTGTGGGACATGTGGCAGCATCGACATCGTCAGCTTGAACGCTCAGCACATGAATTTGTTGCGCCACACTGAATGGGCCAGATCGCGTTTGCCCGTGGTCCAGGTAATGGGGAGCAGGGCCGCTTTGCCTGAGGATCGAGAGGTGGCTGCTACCGTGGTAATGCCGCTCGTCACGGGCAACGGCATGAACTCAAACGTTGACTCTGCAACGGGAACAGACTCTTTCACTGTGGCAGCTCTCTTGCTCTGGCTCTTGGTCTGGCTCTTGCTCTGGCTCTTGCTCTTGCAGTGGCTCTTGCTCTGGCTCTTGGCCAGCGACTTGCACTTGTGGGTGAAATTCACAGCGAACTGGTACTTTTCCGCCTTCTGTGGCTTGAGCCCCTGCTGGCGGGGCGAACCCGCATCTAGACCAAGTCGCTTGCAGAAGCTTCTGTTCGGGATCTGCGAATCCCGAGCTGGTAACGAGCCGCTGCTCATCGCGGCCCCCTTGGCTGTGGTGTGCGTGTGAGTCTGTTGCTTGGCCTTCACCACAGAGCCCAGACCCATCTGACGCACCAGAAACTGCTGGGCCAAGACCAGCTCCTTGGTCTGGTCCTTCTTCGCCCACTTGTGGTGCTCGGACATGATGGCCAGGATGCGTGGCAGCATCAGCAGCGCAGCCAGCGCATCCACAAAGGCCACGCGCAGCCGTCGCGCAATGATGTCCACCAGGGTGCAGGCGTACTCGTGCCGGGCCGCATAGTGGATCTCTGCCTCGATGTACGGAAAGTGGCAGTGCAGCCGCCGCTTCGACTCCGGCGTGGCCTCCGCGAGGAGAGTGTGGCCATTGCAGCCATAGGACTCGGCAATGTGCTGTGCCACGTCCATGGGCACACCGTAGGCCTGGCACAACTCGAGCGGCAGCATGCAGTTCCAGCCCTCGGCACCGTCCAGCATCAGGTCCTCGGTGCAGCTGGGCGGCAGTTCGCAGTTCAGGTCGCACACCGCGACGGCGGTGTCCACCGCATCGGCGGCCATCACGCGGTACGTGCTCCAACGCCCACCGCCCAAAGTGATCAGACGGCACTCGCTGACCTCCAGAAGATAGTTGCGCACCGGCAGCTGTTCCTTTTCTGCCACTGCTGCACTCGGACTGGCCGGACTGGCGGGTTTGGCCTCCGTGGGACAGACCACAGCCGGCCGCATGCCTGTCCAGGCGCTGAGCACATGCTCCGGGCCCAGCTGAACGCATTCGTCCATGTGATCGCGAGCCGAGTCCAGCAGCAGCTCCACATCGTACTCCTGCGGCGTGGGGCTCTGTTTGATGTCGTCGACGGTGCCAGTCGAGGTGCCCAGCAGCACGTGGTTCTCGAAGGGCACCATCACCAGCGTCGGATGGCACTTGGTGGCGGCGGGACTCAGCAGGCCGTACTGCGGCGAGCCGAAGTAGCTGGGCAGGGCCAGGGTGGTGCCCAGCGTGGGCACGGAAATCGGCACCGTTCTGCTGTCGTCCAGCTGCCGCACGGTGTCCGTGTGGGCGCCAGTGGCATTGATCACCGACCTGGCCTCGATGTAGAACTTCTCGTCGGTGAGCACATCGCGCACTCCGGCACAGCGACAGCAGCCGTCCTTGCGTATCAGCTCGATCAGCTGCATGTGATTGGCCACATTGGCGCCCAGATTGACGGCTGACATGACGAGCGCCAGGCACATGCGGGCATCGTCCACCTGGCCATCGTAGTAGACCAGTCCGCCGCGCAGACCCTTGGCCTGCAGCAGGGGGAACTCATCGAGGGTCTCCTGCTTGGACAGAAAGTGAGAGCTGCCCACGTTCGATGCTCCAGCCAACCAGTCGTACGCCTGAGGGCAGGCGAAAACTCGCAGTGAATGATCAGAGTCAGAACTAAAGTGCAATCTTACCTTGAAGCCCAGCCAGTAGAAGGGCAAGCGCAGGACACTGTAGATGGGCATCAGCATCGGCTGGACTCGGTTCAGATGGGGGGCGATCCTCAGCATGGTGGCCCGCTCGCTCATCACCTGCTGCATGATGTGCAGCTGCTCGAGGTTCTTGTCCCGGATGGCGTCACTGATGTAGGAGCCGCTGCCGTCGATTAGTTTGCTCGACTTCGAGCTGGCCCCACTCGAGAAGTCATCGGCGTCTATGAGGGCCGTTTTGAGGCCGCGCGATGCCGCGTCCAGCGCACAGCCACAGCCGGCAGAGCCTCCGCCAATCACCAGGACATCGTATTCCTCCCGCTTCATGGCGCACAGGTGATCCCGCCGCGTGGGTGTCTGCCTTTGCGTGCATGCCAGCCGCGCCTGTGGCAGCGTCAAACAGCCGCAACAATTCGACTTTCGCAGCAGATTCGTCGCAGAGACGCTCTTCGCCAGGCCGCTGCACAGTTCGGATAGCATACTGAAGTTCCACTCTTGCTCGGCAGCCAGCAAACACTGAAAATTTAGAATTTCTACGCGATTTGTATCCAACAGAAAGACAACCATGCAGTAGAAAAAAAAATAGCCAAAACACAGAACTTCATTTGCCAAAAGCCAAAACTGATGTAAATATTCTACCCATCGGATTTTGACAGCTGCTGGAAGTTTTTGAGGTGAGCTACTCTGTCGGGGAGATTTAACTATTAGATATTAGATATTAGATATTTAGTTGCCCTTGCGATGCTTTAACCGATCCCCCATCCCCCACACTCTTTGAAATTCAATATAAAAATTGAATAATTTATGAGCGCTCGTCCGGTGCCTTAATGAACAACCAACTGCGGTGTCCACACCCAAAGCCAATTAAAATTAATGAAAATTATAGATATGCGCGCTGTGGCCCCACCTTTGCCTGTCCTGCCTGTCCTGCCCCACGCGGAAAGGTGTCGACCTGTCACAGTTTCTGACAATTTAAACTCGTGACTGGCAGGCCAGCAGACAGACAGGCAGACGAACAGACAGACTGAACTCCCCCCGTGGCGTAGCTGGGTGGAATGTGAAACTAAATTACTATGCTTAGCACATTAGGGTTGGGAAATTTAATTACATGCAATGGCCAGGCGGAGGCGAGGTGAAATGGGCCAAAAACTCCTAACCATTCAATGGACAATTTCCTGAGGGTGTGGGGGGTGTCATTGTCCAATGCTTACACGGGGTAAGCACAAAAAAATTATGCCCCTCAACACTCCCATTTGTATCTGTTGGAATATTAATGCTTGTCCGCAGATCCCCCATGGGGGCATCACTCCGATGACACAGCGCTAAGGGCTAGGGGCTAGGGGCTAGGGGCTAAGGGCTAAGGGCTAAGGGCTGGCGCTGGCGCTGGAACAATTGGTGTCAACAGTGCCGACTGCAGGACTATGACAGGCCTTTGACTTTCACACGCTAATGAGTTTGTTTAAGTAATTTCAATTCATTTGTTAATTTTCAACTATTGTCTCTCTATTGACTTTATTAATGTGCCCGGGGCCTGCCCATCACTCTGTCAGCCCTGTCGTTTTCTGTGTCTGTTTATTTGATTGTTTGCTTACCTGTCCTGCCTCCCTGTCCGCATGTCCGCCGCATGTCCCATGGGACTCTGGGACTTTGACTTTGCGTGCCCCTGTATAGCTTTGCCCTGGCACCGGGCCTGGTCATTAATATCGCCTCTCCGGCGCGTAGATAAATATTAAATTGCTGATTGTTCGCATTATTGAAATGCCATCGGCGCATTTGGCTCCATGTTAATGCGAGTCAATGAATGGGTAATATTCCGATAAAAAGTCATCGATCAAATGTGTTTTTTTCGTTGCCCAGAGGGGTACAGGGGTGTATTGTGTAAGTTATTTAAGCCATGGCCGTCAGAGACTGGAACTAATGCAACCACATTTGGTGTACAGACTCCTGTATAATCACACTGAATCAAGTTTATATATTTAATACTTTTAATGCCCCCTCAAGTCACGATTGTAGTGTCAGCCATTATTAGAATTATTATAAATATTATTTATAAGTTACAGAAGTCAGCAGAAGACATCTTCATGCATAATCTGAGTACTGATTATTAGATTGGATTACTGAGCCCAGAGGCAACACTGTACCTACTTACTGTGCACCCAAAGAATATCAGGGAATATGATAGAATATGCCTGAGAGAATATCTTGCTCCTTCCTTTGCCCTTAGCCCTTAGCTTGTAGCTTTTGACCTTCTTTGAAGACCATTCCTTTGGAAATTTCCTGTCGTTTAGTTAAGGAAATCTTTGAAATTATGACAGTAAATATGACTTGAAAGCAAGAAGGAAAACTAATTTTAATGACACAAAAGATAGTCATAAGTGTTTGTTCATACACGTTGTATAAGCGTCTGAGCTGGGGGCACAACAACAAACAAAAGAGCAACAAGAACAATAACAGCGGCCTTCTAAACACAAATTTCCGGCATAGGCCGCACATAACAAACCTAACCCGATGCGATAGTCATAGTCATAGTCCTTACCGACACCACACCACACCACACCATACCACATCTTCTCTTCTCTGCTCTCCCCACCCGATGGCCACCCGTCGGTCTGCTGGCACCCGCCACGCCCCGGCACTTTGTTACATTTCGTTACCTCGCCAAAGTGCCTCAACACATTTGGCGCGGTATGGCGTGGCCTTGTTGCTTCCTGCCTGTTTCCTCCTGCCACATAGCTGCCGCTGCTGCTGCCCCTCCACCTTCCGGCTACTTGCCCCCTGCCGCTGCTGGCTGCAACTGGCTTTGTTTTGTGTGCTGATGTTGTTGGCGTGTGGCTCACCTTTTTCGCCCGCACCGCCCCCGCCGCCGGGGTCCGGTCTTCTTTGGGCATTATTGCAGCTATAAAGTCAGTGCCTTGAACTTTTTGCTGCTGCTGTTTTTGTTTCTGCCCCGATGTTCCTTTGGTCCGGCAGTTTTTCTTTTTTCCGCCGCTGTTTCTTTTTTTTTTTTTTTGCTCTTTTCTGGTCTCTTTTTGTCGCCTTATTGCTATTGAAGTTTGTTTTTTATGGCCTGGCCGAGCTTGACAATAAGCACGACGGCGGCGGCGGCGAAACTTTTCCACTTCTCATTTATTATTACGTATACGCGCCGTTGCCGTTGCTGTTTTTGTTGCTGTTGTTGTTGTTGTCCTGACAACCGAGCGACACAAATTGTCGTCTGTCGTCGGAAAAGAAAGAAAAGAATATACATAAAAAATAAAACAAATCACAGCTGGAGCGGGAGCTGGAGCTGGATCTAGAGCTGGAGCTGCAAATGCAAATAAGCGCACCAAATTTGTCTAATATTTTTGTTCAAAGGCCAGCAGCAAAATACAAAAAACAAAAAACCAAAACAAGAAAAATGCCTAAATTAAAATAATTCAAAATAAACGATTTGTTGCGCTTCGACTGGCAGCCAGCGAGGTGTTAAGTGGCACAAATTGTGTGGCAACGGATAAGGGTGGCTTCTGCTCCCGCTGCTGCTGTTGCTGTTGCTCCTGGCCCTAGACCCTTCAAATAGCTAGAAATTGGTTGCAGCTTTCACTTTGTTTATTGGCTAAAGTTTTGATTTATTTGGACAAGCGACAAATCTATAAGAAAATCGAAGCAGGTGCAACAAACGTTCGGTGAAGAATATTTCCGGAAATGGAAATGATTAATTGAATTCATTAGAAGCAACATATTTTAATTCGCCTGAAATTTAAATGAGTTTTGGGAAGCTTAAGAAAAATTAAAACAGAAAGGAATGTATTTTAATTTTCAATATATTAGATTTAAATATTAAACATATTAAATTTAAATATGAAGCATATTAAAATTAAATATGAAACATATTAAATTTAAATATGAAACATATTACATTTAAATATGAAACATATTAAATTTAAATATGAAACATATTAAATTTAAATATGAAACATATTAAATTTTAATATGAACTATATTTAATTTAAAAATTTCTATATTAATATCAAAATTTAAGTGAAAAATATTAAATTTTAATACAACCACTCTTGGATGAAAATCAATGGCATAAATATTAAAATCTAAGTGAAAATATTACAATTTCAGGGCTTTTTTCTATCGGTGTATATATTTTTTTATTTTATTATATATTTTTGTAATTGCTCACAGCATACTCTTATCAGATATTCCCATTGCTTAGAGCCCATTCGAATGACATTTGGATGGCCAAATGATTCATCGCAAGCAGCACAATGGGAATATGGCCACAAGGCTTTGCGAATTGTCAACGATTGAGCCAAATTTAGCCGCCATATTAATGTGTATTGTGGCATAATTGAGTTGCACACGCAATGGGTATGGGGGCAAAGGACTGGCCAGTCCAAGGGCCCAGCTGGGGACTTGGCAGAGCAGATCCATGCACAGCTGGCCCGGGCATAAAGGCGTTAATTTGTAGCAATTAGTTTGGCACTCGGCCATGGCAGTGGCCAGTGGCCAGTGGCCGAGTGGGCATGTTGTATGGAGAATGGCGAATGGCGAATGAACCAATGGGTTCGGTTCAGACAAAGGACAAACGATAAACATGCACACACAGGACACACGGCATGCCGCAGACCGCACGGATCGCGGACAAAAAGGAAGGACATTTGATAACAATTAAATAAACGCTGGCGGGTCAGCCACGCGTTTAAAGCGACTGAACTTGCCACATTTTTTTTATTACGACCTGACATCAATTAAATTTTTACCTCTGCCACACACGCCCCGCCCCGCAAACACTCGGCCGGGGACAGACACTCACAATCGTTGTTGTTGCTGCACATGGAGGGGAAAATTTTATTTTTTGAAACTTTTGCTACAACAGGCTACCCAGCCAATGGAAGAGGGCGTACTCGGACTCTTAGTGGACACGATCAGGGTTAGGGTATAGGGTATTCATGGGTCTAAACATTGCCTCCATCGTGCAGCCACACTATCCCTTACCTTGTCCCTGTCCACGTCCCTGTCGCTGTCGCTGTCTTGGCGGCTGTTGTTGTTGTCGTTGTCGTCTGTCGCTGTTGTAGGCAACACTATTTGTGTCATGCAACAATGTAATTGCCACTGTCGTTGTCATTTCCGCTGGACACACGTTGCCCAGCGGCAAAGAGAAAGAAAAAAGGAAAAAAAGAAAACGTAAAACAGAAACGACAAACAGAAAAACCTTAAAGATATTACCGGGCAGGGCAGGGAAGGGGGAAAGGATAGTGTGGGATAGTTAGGAGGGAAAGTGGCAGTGTTTGGGGGGGTTGGGAGGGGCAGCAACAAAGTGTATGTGGGTTGGGGCAAGACGGGGTGTGGCCCCATACAGCGGAAGGAAGTGAGTTGTAGGTCGGCCATTGTGCAGCTTTTGCGGTGAGCAAGTCGCATTGTGTCGCCCTTTTGGGTGGTGGGTTTCGGGGGTTTTGCTTGGGTCATTGTGAATGTAGGGGCTGTGGGGCAAATGTCCTGGGCAATTGTCAGAGGCGCGCGCCATGTTAAGTTGAAAATAATAGACGTGGACATGGCTGTCAGGCTGTCAGGCAGTCAGCCAGAGACGATGTGCGCCGGACACTAATCGATGGGGACAAATTGCAAAGGTTGCAAGGCTGCCACCGCCCC